TCTCTGCTGTACTAGGTAATTATCACTCTATGGTAGGTCTGACTACAGCTCAATTAGGTCTCAAACACACATGGAAATCTACCAAACTCCATACACAACATACTAGTAGAAAATAAAATTATAATAGCCTCAGTCACATGTAAATGAAAACAGAGAAAAAATAATAGCAGCACTAATAGTAAAAAAAGAAAAAGCCAACACTCAATGACATTAACTATGACTATGTACTAACCGTGTTTGGAAAATGAAAGATTCCTCTAACTTCAGGTACATACATAATATAGATTGAGTTACAAATAAAAAAAAATAAAATCGTCTTTGATAAAGGCTGAAATAATAGCCGAAAGCTCTCGGATAAGCAGAACATTTGAACAGGTTTTTTTTTTTTTTTTTTTTACACACATTGTTTGCAGAAAAGAAAACACTTGTACGAACACAAGAAAAATAAAATTAAATAAATAAATAGCTTATTCGCAGTACGTTGTCAGTCGTCTGCCCAAATACACAATATACAGTGTAACCCGGATATAAGAGAGTTGTCGGGACCGGAGAAGAAGTTTCTTATATCCGGGTTTCTCTTATATCCGGGTTTGGTCTATTTTGTTTAGGTAAGTATGGGCTCTAATTTGGGACCAGAGAAAATCTCTCTTATATCCGGGTTTGGTCTATTTTGTTTAGGTAAGTATGGGCTCTAATTTGGGATCAGAGAAAATCTCTCTTATATCCGGGTTTCTCTTATATCCGGGTCTCTTATATCCGGATTACACTGTATTTATTTATTTCATTTATTAATATATACTTAATAGCTGTTTTATTACATCGAGCACTATTTATTAACACCAGCACTCAATGTGCAGTATTATATATATATATATATATATATATATATATATATATATATATATATATATATAGTGGTACTCGACAGGAAAAACATTAGGTATTTTGGCTTGTAGTTGAACAAACCAATACACAATGAAAAAATGAGGAATAAAAAAGAAAAAACGAAGAACATGAAATGGAGGAGAAAAACACTCGTCCAGAATTCAAGCTCAGGGTCCAAACAAAACAAAACAAAAAAACGCTCCAAAACGGGTAAAAGTGACTACGTAAAGTGCTCAATACACAAGTAGAGCAAACCCTAAAGAGCTTAAACGGATCGTAAACCTACTGGGTTTCACTAAACAGATCGTCAGGTATTAAACATATGATTTTACACTGACGTCTATTTAATTATATAAACTAGGTATATATATATATATATATATATATATATATATATATATATATATATAATATATATATATATATATATATATATATATATATATATATATATATAATATATATATATATATATATATATATATATATATATATATATATATATATATATATATAATATATATATATATATATATATATATATATATAACACAACACATATATATATATATATATATATATATATATATATATATGTATATATATATATATATAAATATAATTATTGAGGCTGCAAATCATTATTTAAACATATATATATACAGTCAATGAATGTCTATTAATTATTATTGAGGTTGCAAATCATTATTTAAACATATATAACATTCTGAAATGTTTGATCAAAAGCAAATTCTAAACTATTGCTTTTAGGTGAAAACAAAGACAAAATTATCCAACATTTGGATACTTTCGTTTGATCCTTGATCTGAATATTTGAGTTATTGGCATTTTTATTAAAAAATAAATAGGTAAAAATTTAACTTCCTCTCCCAAAATCTTCGACTGATGCCAAATCAGTCTAGTTTCTATCCAGGTTTGAGGCAGTCTGATGTCTAGCATGCTGATGAGCTGTGATACAGCGAAACAGTCTGTCTGTGGATGACAATATAAAGTGAACTTTGAAGTCAACACTCAGAGCCTGAGTGTTGACTTCGATGTTCACTTTTATATTTACATACGCTCTATCTCTGATATTGAGCATTTTATCCCATAAATATAGCTTAAATTATATATATATATATATATATATATATATATATATATATAGTGAATTACGTAGAGCACCTCATACTTTCATCTAGACTTTATTGAGAACAATGCAGTTTTGTAAAAATGTAATAGATTGGACGTTCAGTATGTTCGGATTTTTACCTATATTACTTGCGTATATCCTAGTATTAGCATGTGTGACAGCTGGGCCGAGTGGTAGGATTACAGGCAAACAATCCGTTTACTTGCTTTTACATTTATATATATATATATATATATATATATATATATATATATATATCAAGAACAGTATTGAGGAAATTGTAAGACATAATAGAAAAACATTATTTGTGGCGAGTTTCATCCGTTTGGCATTTGTTGACATTGTTGCGACTACACATACGCATGAACGGGAGAAGCTGATAGTTTCAAAACTTTTTGGAAGAATTTTTTTTTCACCTTGACCAAATTAATCTATAATCTTTTTCTTTTCATCGTCTTTGCTTTTAAATATCCCTCAATGTGATAAAAGAAAGTCTATCTAAATGAAGTCTTAACAGATGTAACCCGTCACAAATATTTTGTTTATTCAATTTTGTCGAATATATCTCACTTTTGTGATTTCTCCAATCTTAATAGAAAACCAGACCAGAGGGGATACAGTTTATATATATATATATATATATATATATATATATATATATGTGTGTGTGTGTGTGTGTGTGTAGATATGTAGAAAAATAGGAAAGGACACGTTAGGTAAATAATCCGGAGTTCTTTAGTATTTTTGTTTTTATTAAAAAAAAAATGAACAGTGCTCCATACAGAAGTATATATATATATATATATATATATATATATGTCTAACTTATTTTCTTAGACTCCATTGACTGTCAAACAAGTACAGAGGAGTAAAATATCTACCATTGCCTCGATGGACTGTGACGAGAAGAAATGGATCCATACATTTCACAAGGGGATTACTGCAATTTAAACATTACAGCCTCGGTATGATTTTGAAATGGACTAACCGATTTTATTTTGCGCGCCAAATATCCATTGTCTTTCTTTACCTCTATATATATATATATATATATATATATAGTTATGACGTGCTTTTCATGGATATACGTGGGTTCATCTGATAAAAAAAAATCAGATTATAATAACTCGTTTACATTAACACACAAGTAATATCTGGTGCGCCCACATATATAGATTATGTTATATAAAATGTTATATATTTATAGGAAATAGTCATCAATATCAGACAGAGCATTTGCAGATATAGAAAATGTAGACATAGAAAACAACAAAAAATACTGACTGGTATTTTCACGCTTTAAAGGATGATCAGATCAACGTTAAACAGGCACATGATTTATAGGTTCACACTTATCCCTTTTTCATATATGTGTGTGTGCATGTGTGTAAAATTTCAGATATAACTAAAAACCTGTAAAAAGACAATATGAATAAAAACAAAGGGAAAACTTATCTTAGACGATGCGTTTCATAATCTGAAAATCTATCAGTGGACGAAACGCGCCGAATACATTTTTTTTTCTTTTTTGTGTGTGTGTTATTTATATATATATATATATATATATATTGTGCATTGGGTAGCAATTCCTCTTTTATACTAGTTTCATTAAAGCCGATTGACAATATACTGTGATTAAGTTTTTATTCAATTTTTCTTGCATTCGTACAAGTGTTAACGAGTTTTTTTTATCACTTTTTACTGAATATGTAGATTTTTTATATAGCAATGAGAATGTTTTTTGCATTTCAAAAACGATTAGCCCACATTTGAACAATTTTTACCCACTTTATAATTGTAAAAATGCAAGAAAAATTCAATGCAAAGCTTAATTGCAGTATTTTGTCAGTCATCATTTATAAAACACATGCATTATATATATATATATATATATATCTAGGAGAGCCGAGTTCGAATTCGAGTCGAAATTATTATATTCACTTACGTGCTAATATCCTTGGGAAAGGTAAACCTCTTCTCCCTCCAGCTATGGGTAAAATAGCAGGTCAGACGCATTGGATGGTAACTAGTCTAAAAGAAGGATGTCTGAATTTAAAACCTGCGGAGGGTCGTTTGGGGACCTTGTAGCACGTAGTGCACCAACTCTCTGCATTCGGCCCTTCAAAATGAGTCGTTGGTTCTGTAGAAAGCCTTCACCTCTAAAATCAAATCATATGTGCTGGTGTCTGCGCTGTCGGTTCCTAGGAACTGAGCTGTTTGACCCTTATACATCGAATACGACGACAGAGTCCGCCATATATATGTGTGTGTGTGTGTGTGTGTGTGTGTGTGGTAGCGTAGAGGCTATCGGTGCTGAAAGAATAAGTAGATCGAATTCAAATTCCAACCGAGGCCGTACAAGTCCCATTGGAAAAAAAAAAGATTCCTTCCATTCTTCACTCAGAGTCAATAACAGGGCTTACCGAGACTCTCGCCTTAGAAAGGCAATTTTTAAATCAAAATCCGTTGGGCTAGAACTCCAATCCATAAAAAACCTGCATACTATGTGAACTAGAGCAGAACTGTATACATATAATCGGTCAGGGTCATCTACAGAGTTAATACATAATCCAAACATATACAAAGATACCAACTTGCTGTATCTCTGAAAATCGCTTGTTGAATGATTTTTTTTTTTTTTTTTTACTCACCTCATGGTATTGTTCTGGGATATTTCTACGTTGTATTCTACGTTTAGACTAGATCTTTCCCCTATCAGATTTATTTTCTGGATTATTAAACAACTCGTATCCTTTCAAGTTAAGGTGCGATTCATTTGTGTTTATTATTATTAATAATTAATTTATGTTACGTACGTTATGCTGTGTGTGTGTGTGTGTGTGTGTGTGTGTGTGTGTGTGTGTGTGTGTGTGTGCGCGCGCGTGGATGCGTAAGTTTTTTAGCGTCTGCGTGATGGATTTGTATATGTGACAAATATTGCGTTTCTCGAAAGAAATCGTTTTACAGCCATATCAGGTTGAAATACCGGTTTTCATACGATAACCGAAGTTCAGCAGCGTCGAACCTGGCTAGTACCTGGATGGATGACCGCTTGGAAATGCCAAAAGCTGTAAGATGGACGTATAATGGAAAACAGCTCGAAACGGAATTCAGTCAGCTGAGTTCCAATTCCAGTTCCAAGTTCGTTATATTCACTTAAGCACAAATACCCTTGCGAAAGGTAGGAATTCATCTTCATTTCCCCACCAACTATGGGTTAATTAGTAGGACGTATCAGTAATTCATTATTATCACAAGAGGAAATGCTGAAAATTTATCAGTTCTAGTAAGAATGTATTCAAAATATTTTGTCGTTACAAACCGGCAGCTCTTCCACAGAATTCTGATTTTTAGTTATCTGGACATTTTCTTTTGAAATCTGATGGGTTGTGAAGTTTTCAGATCGTGTACTACTTTTATCAGAGATCTAAGCCAAAAGCATTGACTCATTACCTCAAACACAACCCTTAGCAACTAACAAAACCAGATTATTACTCAGTCTGACCCACGTCGTTGCAACATTTCAATGTGTTGTTTAACTCGTAGTCACCTTGCCATAAAACTATGAGCTATTTTTTTCACCCCAAGCAAGGCAGTACGGCGACTAACACGCAAGAAGTTAGAGGGTGTGGAGGAATCAGGAACAGAGACATTAATAATGAGGAGAAAGAAAAGAGCAATCACGAGAACAATAGATAGACACTGCATTTAAGTTTTTGCAGGTTAAAGTTGGTGGGAAAGCATGAAGTCGTGAGGGAGTTCCATAAGCGAGAACTGCAGGATAAGAAACTATTAGCATAGAAGTTACGTGTACACCTTGCTAGCTCAACTGTAAATTGATGAGATCTCGCAGCTAGCCTAACATTGCGCTTAAATTCATACAGTCTAGGTATCATAGCGAAGAGCTCATCCGGACATTTACCATGAAAGTATTTTTCGGAAAGACACAGAGAGGCAAACTTACGGCGGTGGGAAAGTGACTGAAGCCGAGCCGAGCTATCAGATCAGGACCAATAATATTGTTGATTCATCTTTAGATCTTATCGTGGAGCTCCAAAGAAAATAGTAGGGACACCGGACCATATATGGCAGCAAATTTCATTTTTATAACAATTACCATGAAAGGCACAAGGAAGCTACATTAAGGCTGTGGGAAAGTGAATGAAACTGAGATACCAGATCAGGATCAATGGCATTGTAAATTCTTCTTTGGATTTCATCAAGAATCTCTAAATATATAGCAGGAGCACCAGAACATACGTGGCAGCAATACTCGAAGCATAGAAGAATATAAATATGTAAGATAAGATATCAGAGAGATCAGCTTCATAATATCAATCATCTTATATCGTCATGAATACTAGAGACTTGAAGCAACAGAGATGTGGATCAATAGATGAGTGCTAAGAATACCATGGACAAGACATGTGATCAACGGGGAAGTTTTAAGCAAAATGCAAAGAAAAATGATATTTGCATTTTGCTTCAGAAAGAGAGAGTTGAAATTTCTGGCACATATAATGAATAAAGAGATTTGGGGAAATTTGACGCACAAATAGCAAATATTGCTTTGAGATAAGGGGGTCGGATGTTGTGCAGAGCTAAGATCACCCCCACGTCCTGAAGGGACACAGCACATAAAAAGAAGAGACTTGCTTTTAAATCTGCGGCATTCAACTAAGTCTTGACAATACTGCAACATTGTCTCTTTATTTCTATAATTCAAGCAGATTATAAAAATTCTGTCCTTTCTCTTCTTCCTTAGGTTTCCATTTTTCCAATCTACCGGGCAAACTTCTTTAAAATTGTTTCAATCTCTCTAGTCATGTTGGCCCAAATTGCCATCTTCTATTTCTTTAGATTTATTTTGCGTAACGTCAACATGTGACACTCGGTTTCTGTGCCTTTGTTTTATAGTCATTTGCTGTATAAAGGGTGTTCCAAAAACTTGGACCGATTTTAAATGTGAACAAAGTTTAAGCGTCCAATGATGTTTTTTTCTTTTAGTTTCAGATTTGCCTAAAATTTTGGTGATATTATTTTTCAGGCATAATTGCCGTGACTTAAATAACATGATCCAATAGAGAAATAAATAAATAAATTTTCACCAATAACACTGATTTATTTACAGCTGACTTTGATCCGTCTTAATGAAACACACTTTATTATTATCGAGTAACATCCACCAGGATATTTTCCATGGTTGACGATGACGAGTGTTTTCTTTTGTTTTTAAATAATTATTAATATGAAGACCTTTCGTCGTGGAACGAAACGCGTCACTTAGGAATTTTTTTTTTCATATTGTCATTCGATAATTCATTATTAATACAGCTTATTTATTTGGATTTATTTTGTGTTCCCATCATTCACAAAGTCTTTCACTTAAATACATAAGGCACATGAAGGTCCTTTTTTTTAAATAGGAAATTATTTAGCATATTGTATTGGATGTTTCATTGGTAAATCTATATTTTGGAGTTCTGTGTATTACATCGAAATTAGGCTTGCGTAACTTCCTTATAATCTTTTCTATTTCCCGTACGATCATCGAAGTTAAGCAAAATCGAGACTAGCCAATACCTAGATGAGTGTCAGCTTGAGAATACCAGGTGCTGTAAGCATGGATGTGCAGGTGATGTAATGGATAACGGCCCGGAATTTTTCATCGAAGACCCGAGTTTCAATTCTAGTCTTGTTTGTTATATTCACTTACATACGAATACCCTATGAAAAGGCATGAAACCACCTCCTCTTCCCTCAGCTATGGGTTAATTAGTAATACTTGTATCACTAAATCATTATTATCACCACAAAGATTCTTACAATCTAAATGTATTTTCAGGCTTTAAATAACCATCCAAGGGTTGATAAGCCGTAAAAACAGTTTTAATTTTTACTCAAGTTGCCTTATACTTAATTTCCATTAGTTTGAATCAAGTGTAATGGCGAATATATTATCTTAATTCACCGGTCCTTAAATATAACAGATCCTTAAACATAACGGGTACTTAAATATAACAGGTCCTTAAATATAACAAGTGATGATAAATGGTTTACCTCTGACAATGCGCAACGCAACCGGTAGTGTATTGCCCAGGATATATCTCAACAAGTGACTCCAGAAATTGAGCTCCATGAAAGGAAGGTAATGTTGTGGGCATAGTGTGATTGTCGGGGCATTATTCACTTCGTTTAGTCGTGTCCCCTCAGGGTGTAGGTGATCATGGCTCACCACAATTTCCTGTTTTTTGTAAATTAATAAATTTGGTCATTTTTATTTCTCCTAAACCCCTGAACCGCCATCCATTTACTTAAGCTCATCGGGTATGTCATGCGCTGTTTTCCTCTGTCCCTCAATCTGTCCCGTGAGTATCAGATTTTCCAAGCCCTGCTTCCTCATAATATACCGCAGAAATTTCAACTGTCTCTTCTTGATGCTAAATATAAATTTCCTTTTTGTTTTCATTTTCTCTAAACCCTCGTCGTTGCTCACATGTTCGGTCCATGGTATTTTCATCCTGCCATGGAATCATATTTCTGTTGTCTTAAATCCCTTTCTTATCTTTGCTGAGATTGTACAGCATTCACTGCCATATAAGAGGACAGATATCGCGTAAGAGTTCAGTACTCTTTTCCTTGTTTCTAACGATTTCTTTTTCGTGTCTGTTAATACACTGCTTAGCTTTTGGAACACATATTTGGCTATCCCAATGCGACTTCGAATTTCAATGTCCCACTTTCTGTCCTCTGTTAGAACAATTCCCAAATATTTAAATTTTTGTCCTTGTTTGATTTTGGTGTCTCCAAATTTTAATTTGCATTTTGGGCTCATCCCTTTGCTAACAACCATGCATTATTATTCATTTAGCGTTTTTAAACTTCCAGCAGCTACAACGTGTCCCCATTAGTTTGTTCGAAAAGAGCCTTGCGCTCGTCAACAGAATAATGTCATCCTTCATGATAACGTAAGGCGTCTTTTAGCAAGAATGCAGAAAATATTCTACTCTACCCCATCCGCCATATTCACCTGACCTTGCACCAACCGATTATTAACCTTTTTTTTGAGAAAAAAAAAAACTTTCTCTGTTGAAAACCAGATTCAAGAGATAAAATCTCAACTCAAAAGGTAGCAAAGAGTTGACTTATAAATAGCAACAAATCCTTGCTAATAATGGCAAACATATAAATGAACAGTATGTAATTGTAATTTATTTTATAACAAAAAACAGGACTGATTTATTTAACCTAAAATTCTTTTTATTTCCTTTGCGTGGATGTTGTTTGGGGTGGGCCATTATTTAGCACCATCCGCTGGCGTTTCTTATTCTCATTGCTTCAAGAATCAGCACCAGTAAGCGACAATACGCAGACAGATTTGGGTAAATAGCAGTATATAAGCCCAGTTCGAAATACTTTACATCTAGTAAATCAGTCCGCTCAGACAGGCTCCGATTCCACATATCTAGATGTGACGCATAAGTTTCTTTTTCTGATTCATCCTTCAGACTTAAAATAACCTTATGACGATCCTACAATGCTTCCGTTCACGAACAGAAAACCACATTGCGTCAGTGCCTAGGGGACATACCCAATTAGTTAAGGTCAGACAACTGACAAGAAAATATGTGGTACTAAACGAAATATTTACTTTATTTCATATTAATTCATCAAAATAAAATATGTATATGTCAAGAGATTGAATCACTTGTGACCAAGAGCCATACGAGCCATAATCAGTAAATATTTCAGTGTATTTATTATTATTATTATTATTTGATATCTTGTCCGACTCTTAGATGTTTCGGTCGGATAGTGATGATCGTATCTTCCGTCCTAGCAACAGTTTAGAGCAGCATTTCTTAACCGGTGCGCCCAAGCACACTAATATGCGCTGAATGTTAGCCAGGTGCACCCCAAGTTAACAGAAGAGTAATTTATAAATTATTTTTATATTTTAAAAAGCTAAAACACCAAGAAGATATAATGTCTTAAAAATAAATGCTTATCTGAGGAGATTTCTTTATTATTTTCCTATTTCCAAATTTCATGACTAATTTTTCCTTATTAAAA